TAAAGTCATCTTTTAGTCGTGTATATTATGTGGGTAAAGTCATCTTTTAGTCGTGTATATTGTGTGGGTAAAGTCATCTTTTAGTCCTGTATATTATGTGGGTAAAGTCATCTTTTAGTCCTGTATATTATGTGGGTAAAGTCATCTTTTAGTCGTGTATATTATGTGGGTAAAGTCATCTTTTAGTCCTGTATATTATGTGGGTAAAGTCATCTTTTAGTCCTGTATATTATGTGGGTAAAGTCATCTTTTAGTCCTGTAGATTATGTGGGTAAAGTCATCTTTTAGTCCTGTAGATTATGTGGGTAAAGTCATCTTTTAGTCCTGTATATTATGTGGGTAAAGTCATCTTTTAGTCCTGTAGATTATGTGGGTAAAGTCATCTTTATTGTCCAGTATAATGTGTGTAAAGTCATCTTTATAATCCTGTATAATGTGTGTGTAAAGTCATCTTTATAGTCCTGTATAATGTGTGTGTAAAGTCATCTTTATTGTCCAGTATAATGTGTGTAAAGTCATCTTTATAATCCTGTATAATGTGTGTGTAAAGTCATCTTTATAGTCCTGTATAATGTGTGTGTAAAGTCATCTTTTAGTCCTGTATATTGTGTGGGTAAAGTCATCTTTTAGTCCTGTATATTATGTGGGTAAAGTCATCTTTTAGTCCTGTATATTATGTGGGTAAAGTCATCTTTTAGTCCTGTAGATTATGTGGGTAAAGTCATCTTTTAGTCCTGTAGATTATGTGGGTAAAGTCATCTTTTAGTCCTGTAGATTATGTGGGTAAAGTCATCTTTTAGTCGTGTATATTATGTGGGTAAAGTCATCTTTTAGTCCTGTATATTATGTGTGTAAAGTCATCTGGATACTAGGATACCACAGTCGGGCCAGGATCAAGTTGTGTTTCTCGCGAATATGACGTGCTGGTCGCGGAGATCGATTGACTGATCAATACAGAGGCTCATAACGTCCCAGGTCTATGACTCATTCTCTCTGGCATCCTTGGGGTGGGGGGGGGGGGGGGGGGTGGTGGGGTAGATTACAAATAAAACGTTGACAGCGGGTTCGGGGTTTGGATGTTTTTTGTTGTTAAGTAGCTTACACTGAGGGTCCAATGTTGAAATACAAGGTATGCTTATTTTCTGACTTCACTAACTAGGCTGTCTTTACTAACTAGGCTGTCTTTACTAGCTAGGCTGTCTTTACTAGCTAGGCTGTCTTTACTAGCTAGGCTGTCTTTACTAGCTAGGCTGGCTTCACTAGCTAGGCTGTCTTTACTAGCTAGGCTGTCTTTACTAGCTAGGCTGTCTTTACTAGCTAGGCTGTCTTTACTTAGGCTATCTTTACTAGCTAGGCTGTCTTTACTAGCTAGGATTGTGCCATTGTCAGGCTGTCTTTACTAGCTAGGATTGTGCCATTGTCAGGCTGTCTTTACTAGCTAGGATTGTGCCATTGTCAGGCTGTCTTTACTAGCTAGGCTGTCTTTACTTAGGCTATCTTTACTAGCTAGGCTGTCTTTACTAGCTAGGATTGTGCCATTGTCAGGCTGTCTTTACTAGCTAGGATTGTGCCATTGTCAGGCTGTCTTTACTAGCTAGGCTGTCTTTACTAGCTAGGATTGTGCCATTGTCAGGCTGTCTTTACTAGCTAGGATTGCGCCATTGTCAGGCTGTCTTTACTAGCTAGGATTGCGCCATTGTCAGGCTGTCTTTACTAGCTAGGCTGTCTTTACTAGCTAGGATTGTGCCATTGTCAGGCTGTCTTTACTAGCTAGGATTGCGCCATTGTCAGGCTGTCTTTACTAGCTAGGATTGCGCCATTGTCAGGCTGTCTTTATTAGCTAGGATTGTGCCATTGTCAGGCTGTCTTTACTAGCTAGGATTGTGCCATTGTCAGGCTGTCTTTACTAGCTAGGATTGTGCCATTGTCAGGCTGTCTTTACTAGCTAGGCTGTCTTTACTAGCTAGGATTGTGCCATTGTCAGGCTGTCTTTACTAGCTAGGATTGCGCCATTGTCAGGCTGTCTTTACTAGCTAGGATTGCGCCATTGTCAGGCTGTCTTTATTAGCTAGGATTGTGCCATTGTCAGGCTGTCTTTACTAGCTAGGATTGTGCCATTGTCAGGCTGTAGCAATGCTCGGCTGTTCCTATCACCAGCTACCAGCTTATAGTGGTTGTGCACTTTATTTAGAACACAAGGCACGAGCGCTGAGTCCGACATGGATGTCGTGTTCCTGTGTTGAGGGGGGGGGGCACACTTGACTTGATATTGACACGTTATGTGAGTGGAAGGGTGGTGTGGAGAGGATCTCTCTTGACTGGAACGTGTGGCAGTCAAAGGCTTGCTACTTGCTCTGGTCATCTGTGGTACATCGACTGACACACCGGTACATCTGCTGTGTTTATTGATAGTGTTACATCAGCTGTGTTTATTGATAGTGTTACATCAGCTGTGTTTATTGATAGTGTTACATCAGCTGTGTTTATTGATAGTGTTACATTAGCTGTGTTTATTGATAGTGTTACATCTGCTGTGTTTATTGATAGTGTTACATCAGCTGTGTTTATTGATAGTGTTACATTAGCTGTGTTTATTGATAGTGTTACATCTGCTGTGTTTATTGATAGTGTTACATCAGCTGTGTTTATTGATAGTGTTACATTAGCTGTGTTTACTGATAGTGTTACATCAGCTGTGTTTATTGATAGTGTTACATCAGCTGTGTTTATTGATAGTGTTACATCAGCTGTGTTTATTGATAGTGTTACATCAGCTGTGTTTATTGATAGTGTTACATTAGCTGTGTTTACTGATAGTGTTACATCAGCTGTGTTTATTGATAGTGTTACATTAGCTGTGTTTATTGATAGCGTTACATCTGCTGTGTTTATTGATAGTGTTACATCAGCTGTGTTTATTGATAGTGTTACATTAGCTGTGTTTACTGATAGTGTTACATCAGCTGTGTTTATTGATAGTGTTACATCAGCTGTGTTTATTGATAGTGTTACATCAGCTGTGTTTATTGATAGTGTTACATCAGCTGTGTTTATTGATAGTGTTACATTAGCTGTGTTTACTGATAGTGTTACATCAGCTGTGTTTATTGATAGTGTTACATCAGCTGTGTTTATTGATAGTGTTACATCAGCTGTGTTTATTGATAGTGTTACATCAGCTGTGTTTATTGATAGTGTTACATCAGCTGTGTTTATTGATAGTGTTACATCAGCTGTGTTTATTGATAGTGTTACATCAGCTGTGTTTATTGATAGTGTTACATCAGCTGTGTTTATTGATAGTGTTACATCTGCTGTGTTTATTGATAGTGTTACATTAGCTGTGTTTATTGATAGTGTTACATCAGCTGTGTTTATTGATAGTGTTACATCAGCTGTGTTTATTGATAGTGTTACATCAGCTGTGTTTATTGATAGTGTTACATCAGCTGTGTTTATTGATAGTGTTACATCAGCTGTGTTTATTGATAGTGTTACATCAGCTGTGTTTATTGATAGTGTTACATCAGCTGTGTTTATTGATAGTGTTACATCAGCTGTGTTTATTGATAGTGTTAGATCAGCTGTGTTTATTGATAGTGTTACATCTGCTGTGTTTATTGATATTGATAGTGTTACATCATACATTTCAAGTCACTATAAATATTTGTATACATATTTTATTGAATTTCCGAAAAGATTTTTTCATGAGATTCACATTTTACGGCTAGAGTTTTATTTTCACCATCCTAACTCACACTTTGAAGCTTGATATTCTTTAATTGTGATGTCATCGAATTTGTGTTGACATACTAGACGAGCAGTTGATTGGAACTGGCAAGGTGTAGCTAGATCAACTGGAAGCATTAGGTCACTAAGGAGGAAACTTGTGTCTTCCGACGGGAATGCCATCAAGTAACCCAGTAGAGCTGAGCTCTTGCTCACTCACACATTCTACCAATAGGCTATTTTTCTCTTTCATACGTCTGCGGTATGGTCATATGTGTCACTGAATTGTTCACACATTTGTGCGGTATGGTCATATGTGTCACTGAATTGTTCACACATTTGTGCGGTATGGTCATATGTGTCACTGAATTGTTCACACATTTGTGCGGTATGGTCATATGTGTCACTGAATTGTTCACACATTTGTGCGGTATGGTCATATGTGTCACTGAATTGTTCACACATTTGTGCGGTATGGTCATATGTGTCACTGAATTGTTCACACATTTGTGCGGTATGGTCATATGTGTCACTGAATTGTTCACACATTTGTGCGGTATGGTCATATGTGTCACTGAATTGTTCACACATTTGTGCGGTATGGTCATATGTGTCACTGAATTGTTCACACATTTGTGCGGTATGGTCATATGTGTCACTGAATTGTTCACACATTTGTGCGGTATGGTCATATGTGTCACTGAATTGTTCACACATTTGTGCGGTATGGTCATATGTGTCACTGAATTGTTCACACATTTGTGCGGTATGGTCATATGTGTCACTGAATTGTTCACACATTTGTGCGGTATGGTCATATGTGTCACTGAATTGTTCACACATTTGTGCGGTATGGTCATATGTGTCACTGAATTGTTCACACATTTGTGCGGTATGGTCATATGTGTCACTGAATTGTTCACACATTTGTGCGGTATGGTCTTACGTGCCACTGAATTGTTCACACATTTGTGCGGTATGGTCATATGTGCCACAGAACATCGAGTTTTTTTTGCACCAGCTAACGGTCTAGGAGTATCCAGAACTACCTATTTCTTTTTCACGTCCTGCATTTCACCTATTTTAGCCGGATCCTTTTGGTTGTTTTAGATATGTAGGATGTTTGTCCTGGTCCTATGTCTGTAGGGCTGTGTCTCTGTAGGACTGTCTCTGGTCTCTGTTGGACTGTCTCTGTAGGACTGTGACAGTCTTCTGTGTGGTCAGACAAGGCTGCGTGTTGGTACCAATAAACCTGACGCTCTTGTGTGTAGGTTGACGGTCCTCAAGTTGCTTGCCTCAGTTCAACGGAATACAAGTGATCGATTAGTTGCTTCTGGTACTTGTGCTGAGATCATGGACGATTAGATAAGTCCGTTATCAGCCTGACAGCCAGTGTATCTCAGTTATCTAACGCACGTGTAGTCATACAATCAATAGACGATGGATAGCACTGTCACCAAAAACTAGTGAACATATATGGATAGCACTGTCACCAAAAACTAGTGAACATATATGGATAACCCTGTCACCAAAAACTAGTGAACATACATGGATAGCCCTGTCACCAAAAACTAGTGAACATATATGGATAGCACTGTCACCAAAAACTAGTGAACATATATGGATAGCACTGTCACCAAAAACTAGCCATGGAGGGCATTGACAACACTTCTCTAATGCCAGATGTCCCCACTCCAGGTAACTCTATAAATAGTTTGCAAACAATTTCATCTATCAAGTGTGTTGTTAAGCCCTTGTAACATTGAGATAGATCTATATGATACAGCTCTTTCGTAGGCTCCGGCCTTTTTCTGTTTTAATAGGATTGATGCCGAGTGTTTATTTGTATCATCTGTTAGTATCTATTTGTATCATCTGTTAAAGTCTATCATCTGCTAGTTTCTATGTGTATGCTCTACAAAACGGCCACGTGAAAAGGAATGATCCACCGAATACAGACAACCCATACACTTCTACCTTTGGGACTTTGGCCTGAAATCGTCTGAACATATCCCCTGGTTTTGGTCTGTGTTAAGTCATGACACCATTTGTTTAGCCTAAGATTGAGCATATAATACCAGCCCAGTGTTAAGTCATGACACCATTTGTTTAGCCTAAGATTGAGCATATAATACCAGCCCAGCGTTAAGTCATGACACCATTTGTTTAGCCTAAGATTGAGCATATAATACCAGCCCAGCGTTAAGTCATGACACCATTTGTTTAGCCTAAGATTGAGCATATAATACCAGCCCAGCGTTAAGTCATGATACCATTTGTTTAGCCTGTCTAAGATTGAGCATATAATACCAGCCCAGTGTTAAGTCATGACACCATTTGTTTAGCCTGTCTAAGATTGAGCATATAATACCAGCCCAGCGTTAAGTCATGACACCATTTGTTTAGCCTGTCTAAGATTGAGCATATAATACTAGCCCAGCGTTAAGTCATGACACCATTTGTTTAGCCTGTCTAAGATTGAGCATATAATACTAGCCCAGCGTTAAGTCATGACACCATTTGTTTAGCCTGTCTAAGATTGAGCATATTATACCAGCCCAGTGTTAAGTCATGACACCATTTGTTTAGCCTGTCTAAGATTGAGCATATAATACTAGCCCAGCGTTAAGTCATGACACCATTTGTTTAGCCTGTCTAAGATTGAGCATATAATACTAGCCTAGCATAAAACCATGACACCATGTGTTTAGCCTGTCTAAGATTGAGCATATAATACTAGCCCAGCGTTAAGTCATGACACCATTTGTTTAGCGTCTAAGATTGAGCATGACGAAGAAACAACTGGAGGGTAGTATCGCTTCACATGGTGTTCATTTACAGTCAACTGTATTGTCTATTTCTTTATATGTCAATTGAATAAGAAAATTGTATACATATAGCTGTATCAAAGTATCAATTTATTTATGAAGTTTGAATAATGTTATGAATGTACACTACAGACACAAACGGCGCACCTTTAACTGATTTTTAGTGTGAGTATTTCCCCAGGTCAACATGCGGTAACTAGGATTACAAATGGTATGCGAGAGTAGAAAGGAATCTTTATTTTGTTGAATTAGATCTAGATCTATATTAAGTATGGCTTACGCTATATTTTAGTATTTTAAAAAACTCGAACCCATACAGATGGCATGGTAATCCGCACAGCTTGGGACTGGTGCACCGTCAAAACGGTCGCCGAATAAACGACCCGGGCAAGGGCCCCGACAGATAGGCTCCAGCCAAATGGGTTGCAAATGGACAGGAACTTATTTGTCGAGAGTCATAATGACGCCAGCCCATATGGCGGTAGCCTATTGGTCTGAAACCTTTTTGACGGGATCCTATATGACGGGGTTCAATTGCCGCTGGCCCTTTTGACGGGGTCGATTTGACCTATGGCTGTTTTTCTCTAAATGACCTAAGGCTCTCTGTTTCTATATATGATCTATGTCCCTGTTTCTCGACATGACCTATGTCTCGACATGACATATGGCTGTTTTTCTCTAAATGACCTATGGGTCTGTTTCTCTACGACCTATGGCTCTCTATTTCTCTACATGACCTATTTCCCTCTGTTTCTCTTCATGACCTCCGTATTTCTCTATATGACCTATTTCCCTCTGTTTCTCTACATGAGCTCTGGCGTGTGCTCTGATTGATTGTATTTGTGATGACTTACCTGTGTAGACACGAGAATGCCAGAGCTACCGCCATCCCCCCCCCCCACCCCCACCCTCCACTCTTGCAGGTCGGTTTCACCTGCTTTTCTTTACGTTTTGCCTTTGAAAACACGTCCACTCTCTACTCTACACGTCCACTCTCTACTCTACACGTATTCTCTCTACACGTCCTCTCTCTACTCTACACGTCCCATCTCTACTCTACACGCCCCATCTCTACACGTCCTCTCTCTACTCTACACGCCCCATCTCTACACGTCCTCTCTCTACTCTACACGTATTCTCTCTACTCTACACGTCCTCTCTCTACTCTACACGTCCCCTCTCTACTCTACACGTATTCTCTCTACTCTACACGTCCTCTCTCTACTCTACACGTCCCCTCTCTACTCTACACGTCCTCTCTCTACTCTACACGTCCTCTCTCTACTCTACACGTCCCCTCTCTACTCTACACGTCCCCTCTCTACTCTACACGTCCTCTCTCTACTCTACACGTCCCCTCTCTACACGTCCCCTCTCTACACGTCCTCTCTCTACTCTACACGTCCCCTCTCTACTCTACACGTCCCCTCTCTACTCTACACGTCCTCTCTCTACTCTACACGTCCCCTCTCTACTCTACACGTCCCCTCTCTACTCTACACGTCCCCTCTCTACTCTACACGTCCCCTCTCTACACGTCCCCTCTCTACACGTCCCCTCTCTACTCTACACGTCCCCTCTCTACTCTACACGTCCCCTCTCTACTCTACACGTCCCCTCTCTACACGTCCCCTCTCTACACGTCCCCTCTCTACTCTACACGTCCTCTCTCTACTCTACACGTCCCCTCTCTACTCTACACGTCCTCTCTCTACTCTACACGTCCCCTCTCTACTCTACACGTCCCCTCTCTACTCTACACGTCCCCTCTCTACTCTACACGTCCCCTCTCTACACGTCCCCTCTCTACACGTCCCCTCTCTACTATACACGTCCCCTCTCTACTATACACGTCCCTTCTCTACACAAATAGTGAAACGTGCTTGCATTTTTCGCTATTTGAGTCACGATGTTTTCACCAATGTCTGCAACACGGAGGGCAAAGGTACTTGCACCCAAAGCTACATTTTCAAATTGTTTTGAATTTTCTGGACAAAGCTCCTCAGCTACCTCTAACAAACATTTTTTTCCGTGGACAAAAATATCTCCGCGTGCCGGATGAGAGGATCTTGCGGGCCGCATTTGGCCCGCGGGCCGTAGTTTGGCGACCCCTGGTGTACATATATAGACTAAATGTGTGTATGTACTGACAAAATTGTTCGTTTGTGTACATATATAGACTAAATGTGTGTGTACTGACAAAATTGTTCGTTTGTGTACATATATAGACTAAATGTGTGTGTACTGACAAAATGTGTGTGTACTGACTAAATGTGTGTGTGTACTGACAAAATTGTTCGTTTGTGTACATATATAGACTAAATGTGTGTGTGTACTGACTAAATGTGTGTGTGTGTGTGTTTACACTGAGGGGGTGATGTGTGCACCACCGCCACCAATTCTTACCAATCAATTTACAATTAGCTGGTAAAATTAAGATTTCTATTATTTGTAAAGTTGTTTGTGTCTAACGTTATCATCTTTATGTCGGTAAATGCCATGCCCATCCATTTGACTCGACTGATGAGCTAAACATGTTGTGTTGAATGTTGTTGACAGAAAGAACCCCAGGTTCATTTGACTCGAATGATGAGCTAAACATGTTGTGTTGAATGTTGTTGACAGAAAGAACCCCAGGATCGAAGATGCTGAAGAAGGCTCAGTCGTTCCGTGAGGATATACGCAACAGAATCCGCCGCCGCCCATCCACTGGAGTACAACAGATGATAGCTGACGGTAAAGGGCGAAGGAAAGGGGACATAATCGTACCTGAGTCACACATTGGAGACGACGTAAGTTATCTCTCTTTATGTCTTTTCCAATTAAAAAAAAACTCACTTCAAAGCACCTAGTGATGGGTAGACATTTTTGAGTGCTAATTTCAACGGCTAATCATGATTTTTAAAAAAGTAAATAGATGGACTTTAACCACTGTTACGCTATATTCGTTATATTCGTCTAAAGTATTGTTTGAATGTGCTAGTCTATGGCATTGCAAAGGTAGTGCATTAGGGTGGTGAATAAAAAAATGTATCTATGTATTAGACAGACTGGTTTTTTACAATGTTTAAGTGCTATGGTTGATTGCTTGTAATGCTGTGTCAGGCTGAGACACATACAATAATGCTGAGCCACTTGAGACACATACAATAATGCTGAACCACTTGAGACACATACAATAATGCTGAGCCACTTGAGACACATACAATAATGCTGAGCCACTTGAGACACATACGATGATGATGAGACACATGAGCGTCATACGATCATGCTGAGACACATGAGCCACATACAATCGTGGTAAGCCACATTCGATCGTGCTGAGCCACATGAGCCACTTACGATGATGATGAGCCACATGAGCCACTTACGATGATGATGAGACGCATACGATGATGATGAGCCACATGAGCCACATTCGATCGTGCTGAGCCACATGAGCTACATACGATGATGATGAGCCACATGAGCCACATACGATGATGATGTGCCACATGAGCCACATACGATGATGAGCCACATACGATCGTGCTGAGTTATTCTGACACAAGAAACGAGTGGAGCAGCTAAAGCACGCACACGGGTGGGGTGGGGGAGATATTGATCTCCAAACTTATCGGTGTAATGACGTCATCGGACTCCTTGACAATTTGCCAGAGAACCCACGCAATCACTTTGTTACAACATTGCCGCCTGTCTTTGTTACACATTGCCGCCTGTCTTTGTTACAACATTGCCGTCTGTCTTTGTTACATTTCCGTCTGTCTTTGTTACATTTCCGTCTGTCTTTGTTACAACATTGCCGTCTGTCTTTGTTACAACATTGCCATCTGTCTTTGTTACAACATTGCCGTCTGTCTTTGTTACAACATTGCCGTATGTCTTTGATACAACATTGCCATCTGTCTTTGTTACAACATTGCCGCCTGTCTTTGTTACAACATTGCCGCCTGTCTTTGTTACAACATTGCCGTCTGTCTTTGTTACAACATTGCCGTATGTCTTTGATACAACATTGCCATCTGTCTTTGATACAACATTGCCGTATGTCTTTGTTACAACATTGCCGTATGTCTTTGATACAACATTGCCATCTGTCTTTGTTACAACATTGCCGTCTGTCTTTGTTACAACATTGCCATCTGTCTTTGTTACAACATTGACGTCTGTCTTTGTGACAACATTTCCGTCTGTCTTTGTTACAACATTGACATCTGTCTTTTTACACATTGCCGTCTGTCTTTTTTACATTTCCGTCTGTCTTTGTTACAACATTGCCGTCTGTCTTTGTGACAACATTTCCGTCTGTCTTTGTTACAACATTGACATCTGTCTTTTTACACATTGCCGTCTGTCTTTTTACACATTGCCGTCTGTCTTTTTACACATTGCCGTCTGTCTTTTTACACATTTCCGTCTGTCTTTGTTACAACATTGCCATCTGTCTTTGTTACACATTGCCGTCTGTCTTTGTTACACATTGCCATCTGTCTTTGTTACACATTGCCGTTTGTCTTTTTACACATTGCCGTCTGTCTTTTTACACATTGCCGTCTGTCTTTGTTACACATTGCCGTCTGTCTTTGTTACACATTGCCGTCTGTCTTTGTTACACATTCCCGTATGTATTTGTCACACATTGCCGTCTGTCGATGTTACAACATTGCCGTCTGTCTCTCCCCCCCCCCCCCCCCGGGCCGATTATACCTCCAAATCATTGACGACTCTGTCATTGGACATTTGAGGCGTGGTTCGGTACAAACATTTGTATCAACCCACAACCTCGGCCAAAATATTTCCGACTATCCATAACCCAGACAATACTATTTCTAAAAATCATAACCTTACTCTGTTTCTGATTTTTTCTTCGAGGAAGTACTTTATTACAACATGTAATCGTGCAGAAAATCAAATCTCGACGTTTTATTACTCTCTTAGACGGAAAAACTTAGTTTTGCAATTTTGTCTATGTGTCTGTGAACACAACTTGATTACCGTTTCATATATATATATATATATATATATATATATATATATATATATATATATATATATATATATATATATATATATATATATATATATATATATATATATAGTCAAACTTGTAGCTCTGTATCAGCTTTGGAACGCTTTCCAGTAATCGGAAGTGGTACTTACTCCACTTCCGGTTTCTCCAAAGCCAATAACTTGAGTACCATTTAGGTTTTAAACATAGGTGTAAGATCTTATTAGATTTTGACATATTTTGACGCAATCTTCTGAAGTCGTAAAAAACAGTTTTGCCATACTGTCAGTCTCTGTGTGTGTTTGTGTGGCCAGTGAAAACGATAACTTGATTACCGCTTCAGTTATGTTGACCAATTCCATATAAAGTATCATATCAAATTTATATCAAAGTATTATATTTAAGGTTTGATGCTAAGGAATCGGATACTTGAGGCTAAGGATACTCTGAGTATTGGAGGCTAAGGTATTGGTTTGACTCTCCCCATCCCAATCTCTAAACCACCTTGCTCATACGTTGGGCTCAATGCATGTTTTTATACCGTCACCATGGAAACAAATAGGTTCAAATTGCTTCTTGTTTCAGCATTCTTTATTTGCATTTTTCTATGTATTTCCGAACTATTATTTAACATGAGAATTTATCAATTCCTGGCATTATTGTTTCAATTGTGTGTGTGGTGGTGGTGGGGGGGGGGGGGGTGGGTGGGGAGAGACGGGAGGTCATACAGTTGTGATGTGCATGCGTGAGTGAGTCACCTCCCCTCCTCGCCAGCTGGACGTGTGGTCCTGGCCTCTCATTGTACTGGATATCTTCTGGTCGCTAGCTGTTGGTTGTGTTTTCTCTTAGATGGTCTAGGCTAGTGGTCGCTAGCTGTTGGTTGTGTTTTCTCTTAGATGGTCTAGGCTAGTGGTCGCTAGCTGTTGGTTGTGTTTTCTCTTAGATGGTCTAGGCTAGTGGTCGCTAGCTGTTGGTTGTGTTTTCTCTTAGATGGTCTAGGCTAGTGGTCGCTTGCTGTTGGTTGTGTTTTCTCTTAAATGGTCTAGGCTAGTGGTCGCTTGCTGTTGGTTGTGTTTTCTCTTAAATGGTCTAGGCTAGTGGTCGCTTGCTGTTGGTTGTGTTTTCTCTTAGATGGTCTAGGCTATTGGTCGCTAGCTGTTTGTTGTGTTTTCTCTTAGATGGTCTAGGCTATTGGTCGCTAGCTGTTGGTTGTGTTTTCTCTTAAATGGTCTAGGCTAGTGGTCGCTAGCTGTTGGTTGTGTTTTCTCTTAGATGGTCTAGGCCAGGGGTCTCCAAACTACATGTTCAAAGAAGGGCGGATGGGTTTTCATACGTTTTTGCACAAGAAGACTTTCCTAATATTAAACCTTTTGCATCAAAGTACCTTTTAAATTTTCGAACAACATACCTGTGTGAACAAACATTTTCAAGAATGAAATACGCGAAGAACAATTTGAGAGTAAACGTGGACCTTTGGGGGGTGGTGGGGGTGGACACTTGAAATCTGTATACATTTCTATATAAATTATATTTAGTTGGGGGAAGTAGACGTTCTTCGGGGGGGGGGGGGGGGCGCCACGACCCTGAAGATATGCCTTAAAGAAACTCTGGCCCCCGAATTGATATTTGATAGTTAATGCGGCCCTCGGGCTGAAAAGTTTGGAGACCCCTGGTCTAGGCTAGTGGTCGCTAGCTGTTGGTTGTGTTTTCTCTTAGATGGTCTAGGCTAGTGGTCGCTAGCTGTTGGTTGTGTTTTCTCTTAGATGGTCTAGGCTAGTGGTCGCTAGCTATTGGTTGTGTTTTCTCTTAGATGGTCTAGGCTAGTTTATGTTGTGTTTTCTCTTAGATGGTCTAGGCTAGTGGTCGCTAGCTGTTGGTTGTGTTTTCTCTTAGATGGTCTATGCTAGTGGTCGCTAGCTGTTGGTTGTGTTTTCTCTTAGATGGTCTAGGCTATTGGTCGCTAGCTGACTAGTTTATGTTGTGTTTTCTCTTAGATGGTCTAGGCTAGTGGTCGCTAGCTGTTGGTTGTGTTTTCTCTTAGATGGTCTAGGCTAGTGGTCGCTAGCTGTTGGTTGTGTTTTCTCTTAGATGGTCTAGGCTATTGGTCGCTAGCTGTTGGTTGTGTTTTCTCTTAGATGGTCTAGGCTATTGGTCGCTAGCTGTTGGTTGTGTTTTCTCTTAGATGGTCTAGGCTAGTGGTCGCTAGCTGTTGGTTGTGTTTTCTCTTAGATGGTCTAGGCTATTGGTCGCTAGCTGTTGGTTGTGTTTTCTCTTAGATGGTCTAGGCTAGTGGTCGCTAGCTGTTGGTTGTGTTTTCTCTTAAATGGTCTAGGCTAGTGGTCGCTAGCTGTTGGTTGTGTTTTCTCTTAGATTGTCTAGGCTAGTGGTCGCTAGCTGACTAGTTTATGTTGTGTTTTCTCTTAGATGGTCTAGGCTAGTGGTCGCTAGCTGTTGGTTGTGTTTTCTCTTAGATGGTCTAGGCTAGTGGTCGCTAGCTGTTGGTTGTGTTTTCTCTTAGATGGTCTAGGCTATTGGTCGCTAGCTGTTGGTTGTGTTTTCTCTTAGATGGTCTAGGCTATTGGTCGCTAGCTGTTGGTTGTGTTTTCTCTTAGATGGTCTAGGCTAGTGGTCGCTAGCTGTTGGTTGTGTTTTCTCTTAAATGGTCTAGGCTAGTGGTCGCTAGCTGTTGGTTGTGTTTTCTCTTAGATTGTCTAGGCTAGTGGTCGCTAGCTGTTGGTTGTGTTTTCTCTTAGATGGTCTAGGCTAGTGGTCGCTAGCTGACTA